TTTTCTTTACCAGGGCGATGGTATACTCTGTATTTGGTAGAAATGAATACCTGTAGATATCCTTGTTAAGTTCCCAAGTTAAAAGACTGAGCTGTTTTTTTTGTTTTTTTTTAACCTGGACTGAGGTTTGTTACAGTAAAAAAAGCAAAGTTACAATGACACACTTCCTGTTTCTGTAAGCAGAATCTTACCCCAAACCACATGGGATGATTCAGTCACAGTCTCAGAAGGACAGATGTTTTGAATCCAAAAACCCTTTGATTGGACACGAAGAAAACAACTTCTCAACAGTTCGATTCTTGGAGCACAAATGTTGAACTTTAAAACATGAAATCTGAAGTTTTAGGCCACTCTTCAGATTGTAAAGGTCTCCTCCAGCGTTCAGTTTGTGGGCGATAGAATCAGCCCATTAGATAAAGCTATACTAGACGTGTGGAGATTAGAGAGTCCTCATACAAGAGTTTGTTTTATAATGAGGTCTGTGGTCGTTTTCCTCAGCATCGTGACGGCTGGCTCATCCCGTTCTTCTGCTACCAGCTGTTCGACTTTGCTCTGAGCTGCCTGGTGGCCATTAGCTCTCTCACCTACCTGCCCAGGATCAAGGACTACCTGGACCAGCTGGTCAGTGCCAACTGTCTAATGTGACTCAAGAATCACGAGTCTGATCCTGTTGATGTTAGGAATGTGTGACTTCACCGCTCCCATGTTTATTTTACCACAGAGAACCCTGACAACACAAACAACACAATCCTGGTTTTACAAAATACGCCTTTTTAGACCCCGTGTTTACCGAAGAAAAGGAGCACAGGAGAGTAGTTCTTATGTCAGTCTTACATCTGCACACATTAATAATAAGTGCTTTCCTCCTACTAGAGGACACTGTTGGCATTTGAAGAACATGATTCCACATTCAGAGAGACTGGGAGCGAAATGGTCGACACGGCAAACGAACGGCTGACTATGCTGCTGTCGTGTCAGAGACCCTCGCACTAATTATCACAGCAGTGAAGTAGCTCTGAGCAGATGAAGCTCTATGGAGCTTCGGGCCTTTTTTCTGTTCGTGCTGAAAAAGGATCTGAAGCTCTTCGGCTTCACAGTCAGAAAACACAACAGTGACATCTAGTGGCTAATGACTAATTGACAACTGGTAATGCTGGAGCCAGAGCGTTACACAAACTGGCTGATTTTATTAGTTTGAGTTTAATATATATGTACATTTTCAACAAAGCTGCATGTCAGTATGTGTTTCTAATTATGTTTATAACTGCTGTCCAATGTCCAAAAAGTAAAAGCATGACCATGATATCAAGTAATGTAAGAGGCTGGGGTGTTCTCAGTCACTCTGTGTTCTGAATTCAGGATTCTGGAAAAATAAAACTCTTCTTTTAGCCAAAATTCTTATAATTAAAAAACGAAGACTCAAAGACTCATCGGACGCTGTTCTTTTCCTCCTCAGCCGGACTTCCCGTATAAGGACAACCTCCTCTCTATGGACTCCAGCTGCCTGCTGCTCTTTGTGCTCGTCTTCTTTGCCTTTCTCATCATCCTGAAGGTGACATGATCTCTCACAGCTGAACCTGGTTTATGTTTTGTCTGTTTGTCTTCGTTTAAGTTGTCCACAGTGATATTTGTTGTGCTTTTTCAAGAAGATACAATACAACAGGTACACACACAAACAGTGAATACAAACACAGACACAACCAAGGCAAAAAAAAATGAAAATAATTAAACGAAAATGAATCAAATAAGAACATAAAGGGAAAAAGGAGACAAAAAAACCCATCTCATGTGATTCTTATGTAGCAGCTGTGTTGAGTGACATTACTTTGGCTTAGTGGTGTATGTCAGTTTTTTCGTGGTTAGATAGTTGAACATTTTTTTAAAACAATGTACCACTGTCCGCATCTCAGTGCTTTACCAGGCTGTTGCACTAATGTGTTTAGCTTGAAGTGAGCAAAGAGTAAAAATCTCTTTTTGTATCTGAAATCTCAGATACGGGTGAGACAGAGCGAGCAGAGCTGTTCAAGCTGCATTTAAATGTCTCCTGGTGTTCTGAAGTAGAAGAGGGGACGACGTGTTTTAAGAAGCTCCAGGAAAGATAGTGTTGTTAACCTCATTAAACCATAAAACTCTGAACACTATTTTATCTTTTGTTTTCCAGGCCTACTTGATCAACTGTGTGTGGAACTGCTACAAGTACATCAACAACAGGAACATGCCAGAGATCGCTGTGTATCCTGCCTTCGAGACCCCTCCCCAGGTATAAGATAGAACTTTCTTTAAGCTGCTCTCTCAATGATCTTTAAGATTGTTTTAATTAGTATTCTGTACAGTCAAAAAAAAAAAAACTCTTGACACTCATTGAGTTAAATTATATGTAATGCTGAGGAAAGGCCAGCAGATGGCGCCCCATTCGCACAGACAGTCTGACAAGCATAAAGAGGACAGTCACTATGATACACTGTACATCAGTTAATTGGATTCTACCATAACCATTTGTTACCAATAACATTTAGATATATTTATTATGTACAGTTTCCATCAAAAAGGACTTAAACCATTAAGATATTTTTTAAGATATCAAAAAAGGATTGTTTATCTGATGCAGCAGAGAAAACTGTTCTCATGTGGTGAAGTGAACTCAGAATGAGGAACGGAGCTCATAATTATTTCCATCATCACATACTCTGCACTTTCTGTTGAATAATCATTAAATACATGTTGTTTTAAAAAGTCCAATTGAATTCCTGAAAGCTCAGGTTGACATATTTCGCTGGTAGTTTTTTTTTTTTTTTTGCAACATAACGCTGAAAACCAAAACATGAACGGGTCACTATCATAAAATCAAAGGGGGAGTTTTTTCCTAACAAAATTACTTTTCACCAGTAATCAAAAAACAGGACGAGTAATTGACAGAGTCCGAGCCAGCTGATAGCACGTTCAGCTGGAAAAAGAAATGCTTGTTGGTGTTTGTCTGTGCACTAACAGTAATCTTCATCTTTTTATTTCTTCTCCTTCAGTACATCCTGCCCACTTATGAGATGGCAATGAAGATGCCAGAGAAGGAGCCACCTCCTCCTTACATGCCCGCTTAAGCACCAGCCCTGGTGCCAAAACACACACACACACACACACACGCACACAACCATATGCATTCCTACTTTCCCTCACTAACCCTTTCTGAGCACCACTAAGCCCTTACCCCCCCCACCCCCCCCCCCCTGTGTATGTGTAGAGCCACTTAAGCGTTTAGTTCAACCCCTCCCTGTGTATTTCTAAAGAGCCTTCTGGAGGTGTGAGAGGAGAAAAGGTGGGAGAGACTGAAGTCTGCGTGAAATAAAATGAATGAATGTGATGTTTGAAAAGCAACAGAAGCTGCTACCCCTCCCACTCTCCGGCCTTTTTTATGTCTTAGTAAAAGGGATACATGTGAAAATAACTAGCTTGAAATGCTTTCATAGATCCAGCACCATCCTATCTATAGATTGATATGAAGTGTAAAAAGAATCTATTATGACAATCCACTTATTATAGCTCTTACTGTTGAGTTGTGTTACTTTACCCCCCCCCCCCCCCCCCCCCCATTATGGAGATCTAGGCTATTCCATCTCAGTACTGAATGGAGTCTGTAGCACTTTTTTGTCTGTTATTTATTTAGTTTTGCTGTGGTTCAGTTCACTTCCACCAGCCCCCGACGGTCTCACCACTTTCTACTGCCCCGATGTGTTAGCGACGCTAGTGAGGAGTTTCCCAGCTGAGAACGAGACCGTGACAGCAGAGGGAGCTGATGATGGATCATAGTCTCTGCTTCTTTCTCATGCCACATCTGGAGCAAACAGCTGGTCTTGTGAACATTAGTAGTTGCATGCCGATCATCAACCTCCCTCAACATTATTTTGCTGGTTCTTATGATTTGATCTTACTGTAGTGGAAAAAAAACATTTGACTTCAATAAACGTTTAAAAAGAAATGGACACCATCGTGACTCTTTTTGTTCAAGTTAATTTAAAGCAAATGTGAAGATCTTTAGGTAAGGCCTGTCTGTATGATTCATTTCCTTACTCATCTGCAGATGAAGATCGTTTAAAAATTGTTTTAATTCTTAAATTGTGGGGGTTTTTTTTGGCAGTTAAGACCTCATCGATGCTGGCTTAAACTAGTTATTAGGGTTTTATATAGATTTTGATGTAACTTAAATCAAATTTGGAATTCAGAACAATATGATTCTCAAACAATAAATCATTCATCAATGTGGATGAATGAAATGTTAAAAAGAAATGGCTGATTGCTGATTTTTGGTAACATAAACGCTTAATTTAGCCGAATGACTCACATTATTGACAAGATCAAAAAGTAACTAGTAAGGCTCAACCACCAACCTCTGCTTTAATGCCTTGACATAGAAGGAATTTACTAGTGAGGACAGGTTTTTTACTTAATTTTTTTTTTTTTTTTTTTAAAGCTGTTATAGGTGATATACATCCTGTGAAGTGTACAGCTGTAGGGTAAGCTGATTCCAGTATCTTTAGTCTCAACCTTTTTAAATTAGACTTCACTTTTACTCCAGCTGATACTTTGTGGAAAGTCTCTTAACACATTTAAACCTCAGGGGGAATAACTTATTTAGCGCACTAAAATAACAGGTGTTAAAGAAGGAAATGTTACTAATCTTACTATAGTGTAGGCTGCAGCTTTGCAAGTAAGAAATATTAAAACAGGACGAATAAGAAGGAAAAATAAACTTTAAAAAAAAAAATGTAACTGGGCTGTAATGTCTCTTTGAGGTCCTCTGAGTGGTTTTCCACACCGTAACCTGCAGGTCATGTCCCGGCTCTGGATTGGGCGAACGGTTTGACGTGTGGCACCGGCAGCCCCTCATATGTGGAGGCGGTCAGACCCCCCCAACCCCCCCCCCCCCCACTGAGTTGTACAAGACCCTGTGAGGCTGACAGTCGCCCCGGAGAGCAGATCACACCATGAGGACCCTGAGAGCAGATATGATGAAGTCTTTCCTATGGAGCCTCTTGTACTGCGGCTCACTGCTGCTGTCTGACGTGAGGGCCACGTACCACCTCAGTGCAGGAGACCCTCACCTGTTGGCCGCACAGAGCCACGCACAGAGCAGACATAATGGCAGACCACCATTCAGGACCCTCAACCCAGCAAGTAAGTGTCACTGAAAACACTGTTTAGTTTTCTAAAACAAAGTTGTAGCTATATATGGAAGACAAATTCAGAGTACATTTCCTTAATTAGGCTAGGCCTACTGCTGCAGTTTTAAGGTTTACACCTACATGAATGTCACTTTATATTTATGCGTCACTACATTAAAACAAATCTGTACTTTTTACTCCACTTATTTCACATGACAGTCGTGGATTCTGGTGACTTTTCAAATTGATTGTTAACATAAGCATAGTGTAGCCTATAATAAGTTTATTTTAGCGTTTTGCAAAAATACAATAAAAATGCACGATTGGCTTCAAGAACAATATTTACCTGTACGTGGTTTCCAACGTTACATATACGGTAGAGTTACTAGCTGTTTCACAGAAAAATAGTTGAGAAAAGTCAATAGAAGATTTGCAATGCAGGACTTGTAATTGAGTATTGTCGTTGTATTTATTTAGTTTTATTTTTTTATTTTTTAGTTTAAGACTTGTGAACCTCTAAAATGCAAACAGAATTAAAAGTAGATATTGTCAAAACTATCAATTTTTTTCATTGTATAGTTTCAGGCTATGGATACACATTCAAAGGGGATGTGCTCTCTTCATTATTTAATTTTTGGTAGTTTAGTTGGAAAAAATAAATAATTCTGTATGAGCTTGCCTTTGTGCAACCTTATTCTAAAAATAAGTGGAGGAAAAAGTAGAACCTTTCCCTGTGTAATGTAATCAAGTTGAAGTATAAAGTGAGGTTAAAGGGATGGAATCAAGTGTTAAACTTGGCCGGTACAGTGAAACTGCGAATGGCTCATTAAATCAGTTATGTGTGATTGATTGTGTGGCATTTCATACCAAATATTGTTTTCAATGTGGTATAGAAATTTGACTTTTGACTTGAATAAGCTGCTTTCCATTAACAGTGAACAGTAGAAATCTTTTTCTACAATAAGGATTTGCAGAATATATTGCAGACAAGTCATTTTAATTTAGTCTTCTTGACATTAAAGACATCATTTATAAGGACATTGCTGGTTTAAACAATGATTTATTAAACGTTATTTATCCAGCAGTGTAATGCCAGAGTTTTACTCTGCTCTGGAAAAAGAAATGCATGAAAAATGTAAACCTTTACTGGATGTTTCACAAGCACTCTACAGGATAATCCAGCTTGTTGCAAACACACCAGCTGGCTGAACTTACACTTGTGCTTCAACTAATAATTTGTCTGTGTCTCAAGAAAGCAAAAGTTGTTTATTTCAACACAACTTTCCAGTTTACCTGCTTTCATCCTACTAATGTTTTCTATCACTTCTCCTTTCTGGTGGGCCTGTAGTTCACAGAAGTGACTACACGTATAGAGGAGGGTATCACTACCACTACCAGCCACCCAGGATCCCTCCACCGGTATTGTTCCAACCCCTTCCTCTATCTCCTCCAGTGACTTACCACAGACCTTCAGTCCCCATGCCCCCCTATCACCACAGATTTAAAGGGCCAGTGTTACCACACATGCACCACATATACAAAGGTTTATCTCCACCTGTATCACACCATCCTCATCAAAGGCTCAAAGGCCATTTCCACTACAAAGTAAAAGGTCCATGCCCAGAAAAGTCAGACCCAACACTACCAACACCACCTGTGCTACTCCCCCCCACAATCCCTCCAACTCTACCAGAGCCAACAGTGCTGCCAACTCAGCCAGAAACTACAGAGGCACCGCTGACAACCGTCATGCCAGTGTTGGTGACCACTGTGGAGACCACCGCTCCTGTGACGCAACCGGTCAGTACCCAAAGCGGCTTCATCACCACCGTCAGTCCTGTGGAGACAGGTAGAAATATTACCAGTTAGGTTTGCTTTCCAACCCAAACACTGCTCCTCAATGCTTACCACGTTAGATCTGTTTGTTTTACCATCAAAAAGAATATAAAGAAAAGAAACACCACCAAATCCAATCATTGTTTTAGGTAAAGAAATAAGTCAACCTTTTTGTGAAATAAACAAATTCTCTATATTTAAGAGGTAAGGAAGTAAGGAACGATCATCCTCTCATATATATATCTCATATATATGCTTTCATCCAGATAAAACCACTTTAACATCCAGCTGTACATGTAAGACTGTAAGATTTCTTATAGAGAAATTAAATGTGGAAACAATGTCTTTACATACAATGACTTTTTTTTAATGAAGAATTAAATTGTTTCAGATAGTTTTTGAGTAGTGGAAAAAGTGGAAATTCAATCTTTCTTACAACTGTCTTGTTGATTTTATTTGTTATTATTATTTTATTTTACACCAGCTGAAGTGTAAATAGGCCACATAGTGATTGTATGGGGTAACACGCTGCCTTTTGCAATACATTTGTGGCGGCTTGAGGTGTAAGGTGCTTATTTCAATCCATCCAAAGTCTGAACAGCAATTTACATGTCTCAAGAATTTGAGCTAAAACTTGAAATAACTTGGAAATATGAGTTTCAAGCTTTAAATGAGACCAAGCATGAACTGATCTATTTGTGCAAATTACGAGCAGAGTCACTATTTTTAACTAAACAGCAGAAATGTAGTTTAGTTGTGTAGCGTGTGTGTTTGTGATTTGTGTTGTGGGGTCCTACCACTGTCTCCAACTTCAGGTGGGATGTCACTCTTTATGTGTGGGCATCGAGCATCCTTTTCTTTCAAGATAATGGGGAAAAAAAGGATACAAATGATGAAAATGGAAAAAGTCTGATGACACTGAAATGACACAGTACAAACTATGGCTTACTGTATAATTTCAGTAGAACTACAAACTTTCATTTTACCACTGCAGTGATGCACAATACTCTCCTTGTGTCACCTTTGGAGCATATATTCTGCATCCCTAAGTGTCCTGTGTTTTGTTCCTGAACGTTAACTTCGCCCCTCTAACTGTGACAGTGAAACAAGCTTGAATAATTAACTGGACTTAATCTGCTATGGTTTGGTTGATCACCAGAGACAGACTCTCAGTGCAGGAGCCGTCCCCTGGACCTGGTCTTCATCATCGACAGCTCTCGCAGTGTGCGTCCTGTTGAGTTTGAGAAGGTGAAGATATTCCTGGCCGACATGGTTGATACCTTGGACGTGGGCACAGAAGCCACCAGAGTGGCTGTGGTCAACTATGCCAGCACGGTGAAGATCGAGTTCCTGCTCAAAGACTATGGCAACAAACCCAACATGAAGAAAGCCATCTCCCGCATTGAACCCCTGGCTGCCGGCACCATGACCGGCCTCGCCATCAAGACGGCCATGAATGAAGCCTTCACAGAGCAGTCCGGAGCCCGGCCTCGCTCCAGGAACATCTCCAAGGTGGGAATCATCGTGACAGACGGGAGACCCCAGGACCAGGTGGAGGAAGTGTCCGCAGCAGCTCGGGCTTCAGGCATCGAGATCTACGCTGTGGGCGTTGACCGTGCCGACATGCGCTCCCTGCAGCTGATGGCGAGCATCCCCCTGGAGGACCACGTCTTCTACGTGGAGACCTACGGCGTTATTGAGAAACTCACCTCCAAGTTCAGGGAGACGCTGTGTGGTAGGACAAAGAGACCCATGAGACCTTTTCCCCACCATTAACCCTAGTTCTAGTTCCTCAGTAAGGGGCACCTTCAGTCTACAGGGGGTTTTGCTGCACAGTTCGGATCAGTTACTTTGTTATTGGTGAATTATAAACTTTGAAACATGGGGGAAATACCAGATGCTCTCAACCCCCACATGGACTGCAGATGTCGGCACTAGAACCTGCTTGTGTAGTTGCCAAACTAAAGAAGGGTAAAGTCTTGGGGCCACACAGCCCTAAACTTTCAGCTTTATTTTTTAAAGCAAAGATTTAAAGGCCTATTGATGACTGTTCATATGTTATGCAATTAGTTATAAGGCATTATGCCATTTTTGTAACATATTTCCAATGTTTCAGAATCAGTCTGACGTTTGTCTTATCCCTCTTGTACTTGTGAAATAACTTGTCCATGTTACTGTCTTTGCTGTTGTACTAAAGGTTTCTGTGTGTTGTCCAACACACAGTGAACCTAAGCAGTTTGCAAAATCACCTTGGCTGAGATGTGGTGAAGGATGAAGTTCTCCACTACAAATAACATGTGGTCGAGTACAAACGCAGAGGAAGAGCTTGCAAGTATCATTTATTGAACTTGAACAGGCAAAACAATGTATTAAAATTGGAACCAAAACTGGCTGCAGCATTGAAAAATAGAACATATTTTTGCATTTATCCTCCATTAGAAATAGAGGTTAAGTAGATGTTTGCAATTTGCAGAGCATACCTTACCTTCAACTAACTACCTATTTGTACTATGTTGTATGCTAGCACACGAAACCGTATTAATACCCTGTTTTTATCCCCGCCTTATTGCAGGTTTGGACCCCTGCGCCATGGGAAATGACTGCCAACACATTTGTGTCAACAGCAATGCCTCCTATTACTGCCAGTGCCGGGATGGTTTTATCTTGAATGCAGACAAGAAAACATGTTCCCTGAAACGTAAGGGCGTACTGTATGGATTTTTGCAGCAAATGTTGATATGTTTTTTTTTCTGCTGTGATATTGATGCTTTAATCATGCTTCAAAAAGAAATGTACAGTGTGTGTTTGGCTTCATAACATCACCTCAAACTGATGCATGACTTTGCTATTATTCTCTGTTGACTGTAGCATTTGTTGGACAATTTTCAGGTAATATTATCAAATTTGATTCTTTACATCTTCTTTATTATTGATAACTACTTGGGTGTTTCCCAATGTGCTTCTTTTTGTTCAAGCTTTACTTCTTTTCCATCCCAGTTGGAAAAAGTAAAGTGGGTGTTTTTCTGTGTGTACTCTCTACATGATCTGCCACTCTGATGTGAAATGTCTTTCTCCTGGGGAAAGAGGTGAAGGTGGAGGTGGTGGAGGATCCCTGTAAATGTGAAGCCAGGCTGGTTTTCCAGAAGAAGACGCAGGCTGCCATCGAGCAGCTCACAGCCAAACATATCCTTCCTGTTGTTTCAGATGGAACACATTTTCTGCAGCACGTGAAATTTCACTGAGGTCACTTATTCCTACCAGCATGTCGTGTATATGTTTAAAGAGACATACCGTATACCACCCATTTTTCATTTAAGTGTTCCTGTAAATGTATTTCCTTGACTGATCTCACTGGTCGCTGTGTCTGGGAGAATAGAGCATCTGGAGAACATGGTGGGCCGTGCTTAAAGCTGGACTTAATGGTAGGTGTCGACAGCTTTCTCTCTGGGATGTTTTGTAGTTAAACGACCTTCTATCAACCGCGCACTTTGACCTTTTGTTTATTTACTTCCTGCAGGGACAGCTAGATGGTTTGCTTCCTGTTATCCACTCTCCCATCACGACGGGATGGACATCAACCTCAGATGGTGTGAAGTTATTGACTATGGAGTAAAGAGTTAAAATACAGTTCATTATGTTTTTTATTGATATTAAATGAAATGTTTTGCTGTAAAAGCAGTTTGAGTAACGTGATGTAAAATAATGAACCCAAGAATAAGAGCATTATTTCCATTTCTTTTGTACTGTTGTATGTTTATGTTTTGTACTATTTGTTCTATATTGTATATAGTAGTTTTGTCATATAAGCTATATTCAGTAACATATTATAATTGAACAATGACTTCATGCTCTGAGCATTTAACCAATTATCAGTTAACTGTATGTCATATGTTTGCATATTCTCTTTATCATATAATCTCGGTTGTAGTTTTAACCATGAAGATTTATATTGTTACAAGTTGTATTGTGTGTTATGGATGATGAATGTTAAACTTCTATGTCCAAACATCCTTGTTAAGAAAAGGTGACCACAGGAATCGGAAAATAAAACGAAATAATAAATAAAAGAAAACACTTGTTTTTGCTTTTCTTTTCTGTTTTTATCTACACGGTTATACTGATAATATGTGTCCAGATAGCATTTACCAACCATGTATGTCCAACTGTAATGTATTATCTTCTTTTTCATTCATTTGTAAAGGTGTTTCGATTAAAAAAAAGTAACACAACAGAACTGCAATAAATCATTCTTTAACATTTTATTCTTTCAAGTCTCAAAAATAAGATGTAATTAAAAAATCATCATCACAAAATGACTAGCCGTCTGGTGCAACACAGTCGTACATGGATGAATTTTGAATTTATGTCCCTCACACCCTAATTTGGTGTGGGTCAGATTTAGAGGGGGGACGGACCACCCAGTTCCACAAGCTGACCACACCACGGTTAACATCAGTAGAAATATCACTCTGTAATATACATGCATGTCATGCCCCATGCATTCATTGTGAAAAACAATTAGAACCAGCTACACACAAGACAAGCACTTTATAGAGAGGAAATAACAGGAAGTGGATTCATTAAATGTCTATTGCTTTAAAAATTATAAAGACTAAATCTAATTTAGTCTTAATTCGTTTTAACTCTTTACTTCTAATAGCAGAAACTTTCACCTATTAAAGATGTTCAAATGTATTTGTATGTGAAGAAGAAACTTTTTTTTTTATAAATACATGTTCTCATGTTTTTTTATTAAATACTTTGAGTAGCTTTGTAGGGGTCCTCTGAGAGAAGAAAGTATTGTTGGGCACTGGAATGTATTTGGGAGATTCAACATACCATCTAAAATCTGTTTCTGTAGATACAAAGAGGCATTATATCCGTCTTTCTTATGTAACTGTAAGTTTTAATGTCTGGTATGTATTTCTGTGTCAATATAGAAAGGTAAATATGATAGTCGGGCTGTGACATTTCTATGAACAATGTGTTATAATTTACTCCTGCTTCAGAAAAACATTCAAATCCTTCTGATATGTGAGGTCAGGGGACGATCAGTTCTTGACTTTTAACCCTTTTTCTATAAAACTGGATTAAAATCAAATATGTATGAAAGCTCTAAATATACTTGTTTTGGATGGTAATACATGTAAAAAAAAACCAAAAAAAAACCTCACGTACACCCCATCTGTGTCTTAACCCTGTTATCACCCTCATGTCTATTTGACACCTTCATTATAGCAAAGAAAAAAACATCAACAGACGGGGTCACGGTGCAACCTCTGGCATATTTGCCTGAAGCAGCACTGACAACAGAGCTCCACTGTCTGCTCCGTCTGTGTGAGGCAGAGAGTCAACACGCCAACGTTTACCCCGAGTCTGGACCGTCTTCCTTTAACCAGACAGCTGTTTTATGTTTGTTTGCTATTTCAGGGGCTTTCATGGCTACTACACACACACACGTCTGGTCAGAGAGGTGAGCCCACCAGTGTTTCAAGAAAAGAAGATGAATTTGACTCACACACCTCTGAGAAGTGGAAAAAGACACATAAACTTTAGTGCATAGAGTCCCCGTCAGGCAGGGAAACTTTCAACAATATCTCAGAACAGTGTCACAGTCAACTATTTTATCAATAACTGTGTTTTCATATGAGTATAAGGGGCAGACGTTTTATACACTGGACAATTCCCCCCCCCCCCCAAAGTCTTCCCCAGGTTTAAGTAAACACGAGCGGTTGCACAAAAGTGACAGTCCAAAAAGAAAACAACATTTCAGAACAACATTTAGTAAATTGCATTTCATAAAAACATTACATTCAATGACAACTACACAACTTTACACAAAACACAACAACATCTCTGATTAGAGAAAAAAGGTGGTTTAGCGTAATACTTGAAAAGTTGCACCTTAAGACGAGAAAGGTTGGATGTTAGACTGATTAAGTAAGTAAGTAAAAGTTTATTTATATAGCACCTTTCAAGAGCAGACGTCACAAACTGCTTCACAATAAAACAAAAACAGAGTACAAACAGTCACATAAAATCAAATACAGACGGATCAAACAAAGGCAAGTCTGAACCGATAGGTATTTAGCTGCTTTTTTAAAAGTGTCCACAGAGGTCACGGCTCTCAGTTTTGGGGGAAGACAGTTCAAAGGTTTAGATGCCACAAGCTCAAAGGCACAGTCTCCTTTGGTTTTTAGCCTTGTGCGAGGAACAACCAGCTTACCTGTTTGATGTAAAGACACACAAAAAAAAGAAACACATTCCAGAAATACACTGCCATACTTATATGTGCTCGGTTGCAATGCTGCTTTTTGTCCTCCTTTGGGAACCAAGAAAGAGCACCAGGGCAACCAGCACTGAGGTTTCCCTTTTACAATGATGTCTAGATACAAAAATGCACCATTACAGCAATACAAGTAATAAGGGCTCGGTTCTGTTAGAGGAGAGGAACTCTTTGGATTAGGGTCTGTAATGGATGTTAGGCCTGGTTCTGCTCAGCCAAAGTGGACTTTAATACTTTGTGTTGATTTTGTCGGCAAACAGCAACTTTAAAGGAGCAAGAGGAGCTTCTGAAGGTAGGAGTAAATACTTTGGGATTAGACGTTGACATGCCAAAATAAATCTTTTAAGACTTTCTTACACTTGATGGCTGACTGTGTGCTTCCTTAACATGTATATAACTTCCTAAGGTTTTTGGATGGAGGTACTCCTTGATCCATGCAATGTAAAGGCCCGCAGCTCACCTACATCCCCAGGTTGTATGTTATTGCGATTTTCTCAGCAGTGTCAAAAGGCAATGTGCTAAATATTTTTTCTCCGGGTCAAACTGGTCTCTGTTTGATCTATTTTCACTGGTCCACACAGTCTGGAGGTAAATGGGCCACAAAAGGGAAGCCTGTGCATAGCTATAGTGACCTCTACTTCCTTAAGGTGTCATTTTTTTACCAAGGCTGTTGACTTTATGACCTTGGAGATTGTTTGAAATTTTCTCACCAGTTTGGTTATAGGTTTCCTTTTTGTTGTATATTTACTGCAGCAAGTGTCAATATTGTCCTTGAACTGCAGTAACCGATGTTTGAGTCTGTAACCCCGGGACATCCTTTCACTGAAATACATAAAATGCAAATCCATTTTCAACTTAAAAAAAGCTTTATGCTGATCAAATGTGTAAATCAAACTATTTTTGAATTGCATCCATCACAGTACCTGCATTGATAACGGCCTTGTTTTAATATGATCTGATTCAAGTCTGACTCTTGCAGTTGTAATAACAACAAATCCGTTAGTTTTAACAAATGTTTATTCTTTTTACAATTCTACAAATTAATAAAAATTACAAGAATTCAAAACTAAAATCAATAATATTTAAAAAAAAGTGTTGTTCCACACACAATAACAGAAATGTAGGCAAATCAAAACATTGCCTACTTATGAATATATGCAACGTGAAAACAAATCAAGCATTTATAAGCCACGCCCACTAAGGACGCACTCAATCATGATTGGACGTCATGTTTTTGACGTCACATCCGCAGGTGAAAAAAAAAAACAAACCAAGCAGAATTTGAACCATGGAGGACAATTACACCAAAATACTTGAACATGCTCAGTCCGAGTTCAAAAACCAAAATTACAAACAGGCGGAGGAACTGTTCACGAAGTTTATCTCTTCCTGCTCACAGCACAGGTACCCGTTATCCTTTAGTGGAAGAGTAAAAACGTGCTAAAGTCATTAGCTGAGCTAGCTAGTGTTACAACACATTTTGTAACCCTGTCAAATCCGTGACTCGCCTTCTCCTCAGCTCGTCACAAACGTTACACATCTTTCTCTTTCTACAGTGTCACTAACCTTTACCAAATGTTTGCTATCAGACTATTTAACTGTGTTATATCTCCGCAGGGAATGTGAAGCTAGTAATCTGGCCACTGCCTTTAACAACCGCGGACAAATAAAGTATCTCCGTGTGGATTTCCGTGAAGCAGTAGAGGATTACACTTCCGCAATAAAAGTTGACAGCAGTTCTGAAACGCCTTTCTACAACAGAGGGCTCATCCACTATAGATTAGGTAAGGGTCCTGCAAAAACACAACTGAGACAACTTGTCTGTCATAAATTCTAAACTCATGCTGTGTTGCGATATTTTGCCATTTTTTGTCTCATTATTTATTCAATTTCAACTTGAAATACTCAAAAAAAAAAAAAAAAATTCAAACACACAGTGGATCTGCATGTTTACATATGTTTTTTATAATCACAGACTGACCTTGTTACTTTAAATGAAAGATATAGGTCAACTCTGTACACAACCACTATCACACCAATGAGGGAGTATGTTTTTTTTTATTCCATTTTAAAAGTGCTCATTATCTCTACAGAAGAATTGGAGAGAATGAGTTAATCCTCTGGTTAAGGTATTGAAGCTGTTTATCACCCACATTATTGCCCAAGACCTTTATTAGGACTTTCCCCCTGTATGAACAAATCTGGAAGTTTGGTTAATGGTGGGACTGTCTAGTTAAGTCATGTCTGTCAAATCAAAATATGGACGATTCAAAGTCACATTACAAAGAACTGAAAACACTCAAATATACAGTATATTAGCAAACACATTTTCCTCAAAAATATATACATGTTTTTTTTTTAAAGATGTATTTTGGGGGCTTTTTGTGCCTTTAATGGATAGGTAGGACAGTGGATAGAGTCTGAAATCAGGGAGAGAGAGAGTGGGGAATGACAGCCTCCGTACATGGGGCGAGCGCACTAACCACTGCGTCACCAGCGCCCCTCAAAAATATATTTTTAGTAATATGAAAACACAACACAATCATGGTGCATCTTGTTCAAATAAATCCTGGTTCAATGAATGTGTATTTGTTACAGTTGCTGTTGGGACTGACATGAGATTATATGTGATGATCCTCTGTGTGTGTGTGTTCCTTCCTACTACACTAGATGGAGCTGTGCGTTTACTTTACTAATGCTGCCTAGAAAACAGAACTGCTGACTCCAGCCAAACTCTTTTTGCATACTATGACAAATCACAAGGACACTTACTGTGTTTTCACGCTTTGTTTTAATCTTACAGGTTTCTTTGATGACGCTAAGAGTGACTTCCAGCAAGCTTTAAAGATTAATCCAGATTTTGAAGATGCAAAAGTGAGCCTGCAACAGACACTTCTGGACCAGCAGGACAAAATCAACAGAGGATACTGACAAACGCACACACTGCAGAGTGCTTGTTTATAGATCCTGAAATGTGAGAAGATGCTAATTGTCAGTTAACACTGATCTGTCACATAATATGTTTTTTTTTTTTTTTTAAATCTGAGAATGAGCAGTTTTTGTTTTTTTTAAAGATATCATTTTGGAAAGTCCTCTAAAGTGAGGCATAAACTATTATAAACAGTTTGCAATCACACCTTTGAAAACCACATGATCATTTTAATAACACTCGATGGTAGGCCTGCGTCTTCTTCTGGAAAACCAGCTTGGCCTCATAAAGAAATAGAAGACTTACTGGATGAGCTGAGACATTTATTTGGATTGATGTGACTGTGCAAGTCTGAAACTACACGGTGCAGACTGAGTGACCCCAGCTTAGCAGGTAAAATGATGAGCTTGTGTTTTACTGTGAGTAATAAAACCACTGGATGAGGTTAGTGGATATAAAACAAATACAGTTATGACACAGGAGGCTCTCAGCTGCAGAGGAACACATTTTCTGTCTTATATTGAACCTTTGACACAAAATGTAGCTCCTGTGAGAAGTTTTTAGATTGTTATGAAATAGACTTTTAGTAAAACTGATGTCTCTTTAAGCAAACATAAGCAAACATGACCATCAGCGACAAGATCGATACCTCCTTATGTAACCTCTTTATCTGGGTTGCTGTCAGACAGGGGAGTTACGACACACTTCAGGAAACAGCTTTCGTTCACAAAGATGCACAGTGAGTGGCGTGTTTAAATCTGATTTTGTTCCATCAGTAAACACTCCTTACACATGGGCAGTACAAGATCAGCGGAAGATAAAAGGTCCCACTTTGTCTATCGGGGCGGCACAATTGTCACAAAGTTACTTGAAGGAGCTTTTAGTCTTTTTGTAAGACGGTGTAATTCAACAGAAATCAGTTGTACTACAACTTCACACATTGTAATAAAATGTACGCCTGTTTGAGCAGAAACACAGAGTAGCTTTGAGCTGGCAGGAATTGCAGAGACGATCACTGTTATTTTCAAACCATCTATAAAACAAATTAAACCTATATCCTTTGGTTTTTGTTTAGTTTACTCAAAGGTTTGATTCACTGCACCTTATACCGTCTTCCATAATCATTTCAGACATATTATTTAGATTGAAGCCCTCATTTTATCAAAATGTTTTTCTCTAAAGAGAACTATTAACAGCTACCGCAAATTCTGGCTTATTAATGAATCTCAAATGTCCAGTAATTTATCGAGATAACAGAATATTTGACATAAATTTGAAATCTGTCCGTACATGATTAGGTAGCTGTTATAACACAGTGCTTTACACAATCATTTTCCCCTAAAAAAAACATCTCTGACGTGATCATTCTCAGGCTAGATCAACATGATCATGACGTTTGTGTGTACACCAATTTTTTTTTAGATTGTTTTTCATGAATCAGAGACACAAAACTTTAAAGTAGTTTTGTTCCGGACAGCTTCTGAAAAGGTTTACTTGACCCACTGCTGCATGGATTTTTCCAAAAATCTAATGTGTATGTATGTATATATATATTTCTGTCACGAGCAATAAATTATTTAAATGATATAAGTTTTGATTGTGCTGTTTTCTGCACCCATACGTCTCTCTCTCTCATACGAAACTACATGTGAGGTGGGTGGGGCATCACTGATGAGACTCACCTGTGCAGTGTCATTAGGGATATAAAAAACACCTGGGGAAAGCTGAGTTAAGCAGTTATCTCTTTCACTTCAGAGTTGGTTTTTTTGGTTGGTGTGTGCTGGCGTTTCAGTGCCAATTTCTGATAGTGACTGGAATCCTGCAGGTTTTTTCCCTTTGGCTGTATTCAGACTGCAACATGAGGAGACTTGGGAACATGTAAGTTTATTTAAATGTTTCTTAGTGACTGTTTGATTGTTCTAATGTTACTAAATGTTGTGTTTTTTAGTTTAAGTTTGTTATGGAACTTGTTGGCTGCAGTTACCATCCTGGGGCAAGCAAGGCCAAATATGAAGCAGAAGTTGCAGTCAAGTAAGGCTTCATTCATATGGAATAAGTTTCTATAAATCACCGTTTTAAGTATTGTAACCTCAGCCTGTTCTTCAAACAGACAGTGGATTAAAGTCTGACTGTGTGGGGAATCTCATGAGGCTGTCGTTGGACAAAGCGCTCGCAGTGGGAAACCAGCTTGAGGTGGAAGCCCTCAGTGAGTGTAAAATCCGCTTTCGATGAGCAGATTGGTTAATCACTGTAAGAGATGAGCCAATCAAGTTTTCCTTTTTTTTTATTTTCAGATGGCACCAAGCAAATTGTGTTGACACCCAGCCTGGCTGCTCAGTGTGGCTACAGCATGGAGTCTGACCCGTGGGGCAACACCAGAATTTATACCTCACTGATGGCCTGCTACGTTGACAACGAAGTATGACCTGCTGAAGTCTTTAAAAGACAATTTTTCTGGGATGTCGTTGTAGTTTTACTGTCAGTAATGCTTACTTGGTCCATAAATACCATAGTTTCTCTGAAAAGTTACCACTTGAAACCAAAAGTTCAATGAGGGTTGTAATTGCACATATTTCAGCTTTCCTAGTCTACAGACCAGTTGAAAGACATGTTGCATTTCCATAAACACTTTGAAATATGCAAGTCTGCAACTAAAAGTATTAAATGTCCCTTTATTAAAAAGCTGAACTGTCCTCGGATATTAACTTTACCTAGATGGAACAGACAGATGTAGCTTGAACCTTGAACTTAACAAATTGCTTGTTTTAACTCTTACTTCCTAGATGGTTTCGTTTTTATTTTTCACCTCATGCACTTCCATTTGTACTTTTCTTTCAAGGACGATACAACATTTAACATTGGCCTGAGAGTCAAAATGTACAGCCAGAGTCCTTCAGACGTGGTTAGTCATGATGTGACGCAGGCCTGCAGCTACACTCGATGGGCCTCTAGAGAGATTCTCTGCGACAGGAACTTCATGGAAGTATGTCACTTCAACTTAATACTTGCTACTATTTTATTTGTGGTGACACATTACAGCACCATTTCCTTTTCGCTTTTTTTAAAGGTGTCAAACGTCATTGCTACACCTGATGCACAAGCTGAATCTAAGTGGGAAACTCAGGAAGACAACTCCATGATGAACCCTGTCCCTGAAGTAAAAACATTACTTCATTATATTACAATAATTGCACCCTTTGGCAACTCTTGTATTGAAATAATTGTGTCTTTTTCTCCCTTGAAGGCCTCTGGTATCTGGAAGATGACTTTTTATGCTCCTGAGCCCGTGTCAATGGTGCTGATGGAGGCTGAACAAGCTGGCTATGGTGCCATGATGACTTCCAGCCGCCTGGTTATGCGAAGCCCGTACAACACAGCCGAGACTTATTCAGAGGATGTAGGCAAAACTGCTTGGCACTCGTATTTTCATCGGGTTTTTTTCTCCTTGTACAAGTCATTGTATACTCTATATTTAGGTGGCTGGAGTCCCAATGGAAGTTTTCAGGGTGAGCGCTTACTACAAAGTGCCCCATGGTCTGAATGTGGTGAACTTGGCAGCAGCTTGTCCCACAGGTGAGTCTCAAGCAAGATAACATGCAACAAATGGGTTGTTGGACAGTAAAGTTAACGTTCTTCTTTGATAACAGGTGGCGTCCTCTTCACTGAGGATGGAATCTCTTGGCACGTGCCTCGCAGAGTGACTCCTCTGATAGACGGTGCCTTTAAAATCATAGAAATGCACATGGGTATCAATGGGCAGCGGCTGGATAAATCTCAGATGGCCAAACTGGGGTACACACTCAGCACTACAGACTTCCACATCATCATTGTGATCCCAGTGGGCTCACCCGATGGTTACTTCAAGGTTTGAGGAAGTCTCTAGATTCCATATGCAAGATTTCAGTCACTGGTCCATTTGCATGTTTTATTGAAATGCCATGAATAATTGCAGAGCCATGCCCCAGATAACCAGTACCACATCACATACTCTGTGGAGCCCATGCTGGAGGTGCTGTGGAGGGCCGACAGCACCCAAGATGACACCAGATATAAGGTTTTGTTCCCCATTACCACCCCTTTGATGCCCCGACCTCCACACTTCCAAGACAGTGAGTCCCATTTCTTTGCTGTGAGACTTGTTAATTTCAAGCTCTAGGAAGTGGTTAACCATCCCTTTTCTCGTTCAGGTACTGTCCCAGGGGACCGCATGTTCATCGTACATGTAGGAACCTTCCTTCATGATGTGGAGTTGATGAACATCACATTCTCCACTGGGGATCTCACTGTTGAAGAAAGCAATGACAGAGGATTTACTGTCCAGGAGCACAGCTTCCCCAATGGAACCAAGAGCTTCTCTCTGAAAGTGCCCTTTGACACTGATGTTGTTGTAGAACATGTATGCAAAATCTTACTACCCTTTAGCCTGTGTTTGGTCTGCTTTTTGTCCTGCTTTCAGTGGCATAACTGAGTTTTTTTTTTTTTACTACAGAATCCTGAGCTCTTGGTTACAAGCTACTTCCTCCCTCTGGTCTTTGGGTTCATCATTCTGCCTGAAGGAACGTCATTCACCCATCCAGTGGATGTACAGGCAACTCTGCAGGATGTTGGTGAGCTCATTGACTTGATTGACTTACCATTGAGACTCTTGCCCAACTGAAACGATTTGTAAGAAAATCTCGTTTGGTTTTAGTGCTACCAACAGTCACTGGCAACTGCGACGAGAACTTGTTTTACATCAGTGTGGCATATGGAAACCAAGGACGCAACTTCGAGACCATGGTTGGACCGCAACAACTTACTGATGATTTGGCTAAAGACTACAGGTTTCAAGAGAACGGCACACACTTCAGCCTCATAGTGCCGTACACTGCCAAGGGCATAGCGTTCGAGGTAGGGGTACATACTGGGAAATGTCAACATTGGATGTCTGCGTTGGGTAACTTATTTCATCTTGCAGCAACTGACATCAGATTCAGTCAGAGCCAGACTTGACGTGCTGCTTTTCGATTCGATCAACAACTGGGTGCTGGCCGATCTCTACCTGGCCTGCAACTTCCCGTTGACGACAACCGGTAAGAAGTTGCGACTTTTAGTGTATTCTGCTCTCCTAATGGATAAAAGAACATGTTCATAATACAGTTTCTCCTCTTTAGAGTGCTACTCAAATGGAACGATGACCACTCTTGCTGTCAAGGTGGAATCAGTTCCCAAGCTAATCCCCAGTTTGCTGACTCTCAGGGATGAGTCATGCAAACCGACTTTTAGCGACGATCGCTTTGCATATTTCTCTTTCAGCGTTGATTCCTGTGGGACCACCAGAACGGTAAAGTGAATGAGAACTAAATTCTAGATATTGAAGCACCCTCTTACAAATGTGTTAATGCAAACATTTTTCAGTTCTTTGGCAACTACATGCTGTATGAAAACGAGATTGGCCTCTACTACAATAATGACAACAAGAAGCAAAACTACAACAAAGTACCCAAGACATCAACAATTGATCCCGATTACAAGTAGGTGGACTCTGCCACTGTTTTATCCTCATGGACCATCTGATGTTGTATTTCTAGAAGTTAATCACACTTCTACATATTCTCTAGGCAAACCATTTCCTGCTACTATGTGGTCAATGACACTCGGAGCGTTGCATTCAACTACAAACCCGGAAGCAATGAGCCTGCAGCAGAGATCGGTTTAGGACAGCTGATGGTGCAAATGAAGCTAGCTCACGGTAAAACTGAATTTGACTAAATTGCTCATCTTGTTCCATAGTAGGTGCATTAACACTTTACTGTCTGCTCAATGTCTTCTTCTCCAGATTCTTCATACAAGCTCTTCTACAAAGCGGCTGATTTTCCAGTGGCCGGTATTTTGAGAATGCCTCTGTTTTTCGAGGCGGAGCTGATTAAGTCGACTGACCCACAGTTGGATCTCAGCCTGGAGAACTGTTGGGCCACGCTGCATGAAGACAGGCTGTCTCTGCCTAGCTGGGACATTATTGTGGATAGGTAATGTACTGCATAACAAAACCTCTTTAGTTACATTAGAAAATGTATGCCCTAGGGGAACTTTGCTTATGACAGGGTATTAAAAAAGACATCAGACATTTATAAGTGCTGTCATTAATTTGGGAACTTAACATGTATAAATCAAATGCATCAACCAGCATCCAGTAAAACATTAAGTATTGTCTTAAGTACTGAGTTGTTTAAAATCTTTGTTGATTGCATGTCAGAACCTATACTTGTCAATTTCATAATGACAGGGAAAAAATGTTATTGAAAGTTCTTTGTTCAAATAAATGAGTCATCACAACCCAGATACTTTTAAGATTTATTTTTATGCTTTTTTTGGACTGCACCTAGAGTCAGAAATCAGGTGGCGAGTGGGGCATGACATGCAGGAAAGGAGGCACAGGTTGGATTCAACCTGGGCTGCCCACTTGGAGGACTACAGCCTCTGTACATGGGGCGCAAGCACTAACAAAGCCCCCAGATTCTACTTATCTGTTTTATTTTCATTTAAAAACTTGAGCCATAAACTCTTTCTACACTTTAAGTACTTCAACAGTTACTCAATGCTG